AGATCGACATTCGTAGGTTTCAGTTTACATGAGGTGAGTTGCTCTTAAAGAACTCCTTGTTATCACTGGAGGCGACCGATCACGCCGGGAAGAGGACTCGAGGTCTCTTCTTCCGAGGGATGTATGTATGTACATGGTCTTCGCTCCTTGGGCGATTCGTCGGCCGGGACTCCCCTAGAACGCTCATTTAAGTTTTCATTTCGGAGAGACTCCCGCAGTCCAAGCCAATGACGGAGACGGCCTGGGTCCGGTACGAATGGGGTTCGAAGTTCCGATTCATGAAACATGATTTACACAGTATGTCGGAGATCCCAGCTGCTTCCCTGCTTTTGGGGGCTTACAGCATCGATTGGTCTCTAGCGAAACTTTCTGACGACAATATTCTGTATGAGCCATAGTACATACTACAGTTGTCTCTGCTGGTCATGCAGTCTGATGACGACTGATTTCCACGCTTTGGCGACCAGTTAGGGAAAATTGGAAGAACGTTGTCTGGAAAACGCTACAAAGACGGTCGAAAGGTCGTCTGAGCAATCTCTTGACAAGGGAATTTCTCGTAAACGATTCTCTCAGTTTTGTGTCTGTGTCTCTGGTGTCCCTCGTGGCCATAAATGTTTATCCGACGCACATGCCACGTCGAAGATAGCTGTTATTTTAGACACAAGTGTTGAAGATACAAACTCCGGAGACTCATCGTAACTGATCAGACTGCATGCGTCCCTTCTTGTCGCTCGTCAGTAGAGTCCGCTTCAAGAGAGTCCAATAAAAGAAAAAGAGAATTTTTATTTCTTTTGCCTCTTTATCAACTCACAATAATAACAACTCACATACGCAAACGACGAGCCCCACGCGAAACTGTTTGTTCAACACGATCGTCTAAGTGAGCAACGACTCCTCGAGATCCAATCAAAACTTTCCATCAGTCTCAAAAAGTACTGAGCACTTTCCCAGAGTCTTGGAGGATAGAACCGTCATCGCCTTTCACTGCTTGTGATCCCAGACTCGTATTTATGTCCCGGCTGGGGTGAGACTCGTGTTTTTGGCGCGACGATCGTCACTATCAGAAAAAGCACGTGTTCTAAGTCCCCACGTTTTCTTTCCGAACGATATACCCTCCGTGGAAGCCTACGGGAGCCTCTCGACTATCTAGACCGGAACTTCGCCGTGATTGTGACATGTCAAATCGAATTTCTCTTCTTTTCTGTCCAATACGGTTCCCTTCAGGCTCGGTGTTGCGTGTTCGGGACCGTTATCGGGAAGCTCCGAAGTCACGCCACCGGTAGCCCACCGTTCAACCAATTAACGTCACCCTTGTCGGCTCGAAGGGCCGATACGCAGACAGAACGGATGACAAAAGAAAAAGAGAAGGAGAAGCTGAGATCCCTCATCGCAGAAGGCTCAACAGAAAGAGTCAGCGACACAAAGGGAACCAGCCTGACGCAGACCTGACGCAGCGAACACAAAAGACAATCGTTGTAAAAATTCCCAATTTTACTAGCTTGTCGCTTGACCGAGCTGTCCCGAGTCAACACAACTACTGCCCACCGATTCGGATTCACACTAATCTGACGGAGCCCCCGACAGCACTTGGGACATTTTTTCCGAGCGGGTTCGTACACGGAAAAGCTTTGCAGGGGTCGAGGGGTGACAAATCGAGGAAGTTCTGCTCTGGGGTATGAATCTAGCCCCTAAACTCTCGCCCTTTCCCAACACAAATCGGATATCTTGGAGTCTCCAATCGAAAAGGCGAACAATAAGTTCGACGGAAAATCGATTGTCCACGCCCGGGTGGCTCGATCTTCGGAAATTCAGGAGCTCTTCGGTGAGGATTGAGATCGGATCACGTTCAAAACTCACTCAAAACTCAAAACCTTTCACCATCTGACTTGGGCTCCTCGGTCGCGGGCTTTAAAACTTAAACAAGAGCTCGTGAGCGCGGTGCCTTCTCGGAATGAGCCCAGGGTGACCTGTGGCTCGTCACAATGGATGCAATTAACCTGACGGAAAAGGTTCAAACCCTCCTTGTAAATGTTATGACGAGAAGACATATGGCTCTTCCGTAATCGTGTTATGAGTCTTACGGGGAACTGCGCATGCGTTCAAGGGTTCGTGTTTTATGTCTCCGAGCTGAAAGGGTCTCGGCTCCCGAGAGCATGAGAATGGAAAAGAGTCAAGGAAGCGAGACATGTCGTCACTGTGTGATACTGAATGAGACCGCATCACGACGTCTCCCAGCGGCAGAATCAGCCTTTCCTTCTCGGAGTTTTCATATTTTTCCGGGGGGAGAATATCCAAGGGAGATGGAATTCATTGAGACGTTCGACCAAAATGGGTGTAATGAAGAAGCTTTGACAGTATCTGAAAATCGAAAGATATCTTTCGAATGACACGCGAACCTTCCGAAGAATTTGAGTTGCCAAAGAACTTCATAGATCGGATGCATAAAGGCTTCCATTGGAGCGTCCCGATATATCCCAGCGGAAGCCCGCTCGGGTCTCACGTACTTTTTTCTCGTTGCGCAGAGGTGCCAAGTACTCATGCCCGGCTGCGGCTTCTGCTAACCTGCTCGCGATGTCTGCTAACGCAGAACCTACGGGGCGCGAATCCATCCGATCGCTACGTCCGATAGAGCTGTTCAATATTAGTAAATCACTCGTTCCGTCGGCATCGCGTGATATTGTGCCGCTTTTACATTTTCGAGTAGAAGAGCGGGTTGGAGTCTGTTTGCGCTTTATTGAGCACAAGTGCGTTTGATAATGCGAAACTCAGCATAGATGGATCAAGTTCCAGGTCAGCTCAAGTCCGTCGGATCATCAATAAGAGGATCGGAGATTGGATATCAGCTATCATCGGAACTCGTCGCCGTCGACGTGGATATACTCCCGGAGCTCCTGACAACTCATTAGACAGAGCAACACTTGGAGATTCCGCGCACAATTCTCACCAGAGTCCTGCCAGCGAGCGGCTCGTTGCGGAACTCGTTGCCGTACCCGATATCCAGCCAATGATCGATGCTTCTCAATCAATGATCATCCGCTAGACATCATTCCAAGCGACGAGCGACGCAGAGAAAGCTGGGAAGATGGTCGGACGTCACGGCGATTGCAAGGGGAGCTCAATGATTTGAGCTTCCGCTATCATCATTGGTCTCTCTTAGCGGTGGAGATCGATGCCAAGTTCGATGTGAGACGCGGAAGATGATCAGGCTTTGGAGGAGCCACACGTCGCGCTTAGTGTAGAAGTACTCAGCGCGCTCGATGGCTTTCAGCAAAGCTTTAGAGCTTCCTTTCGAGTTTCTTCGAATCAGGTAAACATTGAAAATTTCCGTTGGGACAAACGCGTCAGAAGTTCCCGGCTGATTCAAATATGCTTCCGCCGATCCCATCGAGTTCTTCAACACCCCGATAGCGAGCATTTTTTCTTGGTGCCGGCTTCAAAAGTTCGATAATTTGCCCTCAGCTGAACTTCCGACAGTAGGTGTGCCTTCACGCACAAGTTCCGAGCGAGACGTTAGAGCCTTATCCACGAATGGGCTCAGGCCCATCACTCCGAGGACATTTTTTGTGAATGCTCTCGATTCGGGCGACCCGTGGAGATGACCGCAAATATTCGCCTGCTTATCGCGCCGCCATCATTGTCGAATATGTCAAATTTGTATACCATCTTCGATCGGCTCCTCCAAGCTTCGATTCTTGCGGCTGATCGGCCTCTAGGGTCTGTGTCTCATCACTCTGCAACAAGCCAATACCGCAAATATTCCAACTGATGGGCAGTCTCAAACAAACGACCTGTCCCGAGAAAACGGGCACTTCCTGGATGGAGCCGAAAATAAGGTATCAATGTCCGACAGACTGAAAAATATATCCAGAAAGGGACAACGGAAAAGGGTATCCCGAATGGCTCCCGTTATTGTACGATGAATCCCGCGGTTATTGCAGGCAGAAGAAACGTTGCACTATCTTTATTTCGAGGAACGGACAAACATGACGGGCAGCCTCCTACATGCGAGCAGTCTCTGCCACGCGGGCAGGTTTTTCAGGCTCGAAAAATAGACGATCATGCTCTTCAATTAGAATACATGCGGTACAAATGATTATTTAGAAAACCAATGGTTCCGAACCTCATTGGGAGTAGAAGCGAGCCCTTCTCGCCGGCCGAAAAGGATCGTACTCATCGATCCCGGAAAAGGTCAGTCTTTGTTTGCAGAGTACAAGGGTCCTCGTTAGACCGCCACGGATGCGCATCATGTGATGATGACTGTGACGCGGCACCTACCCCCGTCGAGCTGATTTCATTCTATGGTATGTATTGAAAAACGGTGGAGAAAGAAAGGTAATGGAGGTAAAACTGAACCAGTCTCAAATGTTCGTGATGTGTCCTCGGATAGTCAGGTCTTCTGCCAAAGCTTGCCAAATACACAGACCGCAGTCCCCCCGTTCCCACACTTAAAGTCAAGCATAGCCTCTCGGAACCGACCGAAGATTTGTCCTTAACGAGGTCGCTATTATCGATTGCACTCCCGAGCAACAGCTTTCAAGTCGCTAGCTGAATAGTCGGCAGAATAGCTGGTGATCGAGGAAGCGAGCTGGTTGGCTGGGGCCTCTCGATTCCCTTAGTCTTAACGACCTCTGCGCTAAGTTTATGACCGGACAGCCCAAAGCGCCGCCTTCCTCGGCGAAGCGCCGCCCCACGTTCTCTCCACGTAGCAGTACGACGAACAGCGTTGATCGCTTTCAGTTTTCTGCGAAACGACGTCGCGTCAGCCTGCTTTGTGTTCTTCTGCCGTGTCGTAGTCTGAACAGAGCAGCGAAAACAAGCCGGTCAGTGGCTGTCACCCGCAGGACCGAATACGGTCGATACGTCACGAACTCGTGGAAGAAGTTCGTCTGGTTGATTCTGTGCGCATAGTTTTATCGAACTCGAAAGGCTGAGATCGGTGAGAGACATTTTGTGCGGCTGTCAGCGAGAACGTCGAGCGAAACGAAGAATTGTTCCCGCAGCAAGACCGGAGTGATTTGTCATTCATCGAGGATATGGGTGACGGGCCCAGCGATAAACTCGCCAGTCTTGGGAGTTTCCCCGGTGGGACCCAGTTCGAAGGAAGCTTATCGCCGCGACCACCTGTTTTCTATCCGCCGCCTCTGCAAATGCCCGGCCTGCAAATGACCCCGCAACCACCGGTGTTCCCGCTCATGACCCCCGAACAGTTGCAAAGACAGTGGCTGCTCTTGGCAGGTGAGTTGCTACCGTAGATAGAAATACTAGAATGGAGCGCTTTCGTGGAATGTGGATTTGTTTTCCGATGTCTCAGTGCATCCGTGGTCTGAACTCGTTTTCGGAGAATGCCAGGCGAGTACTCGACGTAGGATGAGGCGCCTCCCTCGACTCCTCTCCTTGGGTTACTGACTGCGGCGAATCCAATGAGAGTTTATCCAAATGACTGGTATGAGTCTGGAAGTCGAGAGGAGCACCCGTTCATCCTCGTTATTCGGCCCGCCGCTGGAAGTCGAGTGGGAATCGTTACCTTGATCGATCGGAGCTTGTTCGATGAACTCATAGCAAACTTCTCTACCGATTCTGTGGGAGTCGAACTCGATCTGGAGTCTACGAGCTTCCTCGAGTGCGTATTGACTAAATTGGAGCGCGCGATCCTCGCGAGCCTGATAGACGTTTCCTCTTGCCGTATCTCTGTAGAATCGCTGCGTTACATCGTTTCCTCCTACGTCGTTTTTAGCAGCCGCAATCCATATAATAGACTTTAAAACCACTTAACAAAATATCTGACTGTCTGTGTCCTTATCGAATGGATCCGTCTGTCGGGAACGGGGACGTAGAGGAGTCAGCGGGTTCTAAATAACGGGGCTTCTCGCTCATTGGGACGCGCACGTGTTTTTCGTCTCTGCGCGACGCCCATCGTTTGTTTCGGCATTTACTGACTCACTTAGAAACCACCCTTCGTGGTCGTTCTAGGCAATTATAATGGTTTTTGAGAATCATCAAGTTCCAGAAAAACTGCTGTCACCAGCTAATTGTCGCTCAAGAAGCGTCAAATTACTCAGAAGTTTCTGAGCTGGTATGGTCTCTGATGATCAGGATTTGATATCCTTCTAGGGACATGCTTCCGGAAAAGGGCCACGCTTATTTTCCCCGAATTTTCCGCTCGATTGCTTCTGAATAGGGCTCAAAACGCCACCATGTTCCATTCCCAATGCGCTAGATGTAGTACCGGATATTTCCATACACGACGGTCATGATCATGAATCATGATCATCGGTGCCATTAGTCGTCACTGACTTCACGTCCTTTCTAATTTTTTCGTCTGCCGCCAACACAAGTTCAGATAAGTGAACATCTATTTACGCTGAAAATTCACGACACGTCGTACAGGGTCAGTACCGTACGGGGAATCATGCGGATAAGAAGGACTCAGTTTTTCTCCGCGTCGCCTTCGGTATCGGATGTCGATCCATGATTACTGATTGCACAGAAATCGTTCGACCGCGGAGATATACTTCGGTGACCAGCTCTCTGGCCGCCGAAAGGGCCGGAAACAGATATTTGCCTTCCTTTCGCTATTCCTGGACATCTCAGACGAAGAAGGCGAGTGTTTGTGCCCGAGTCATGGTCTGCTGGAATATTTAAGGCGAAATATTTCGAATATTTCGTAGTCTCTGAGTTTGATCCTCTTTCTCTCTGGAATGACTCTCATCCGAGTGCATTCCGAAGATTTCACCCAGGAGTCCTCCTTGATCTCGACCCCTTCGAATCCTGTTGATCTCTGTAGCGCGCGGCGCAAAATGATCGAACGCAAAAACATTCAATCATACAATGTGCGGGTTCCAAGTCATATACGACGTGATAGCGGCACGATCGTGCACCGCTGCTAGGAACGAAAACGCGTCACGCTCAAACCACTTATATGGCGGGATCTTTGAGAACAAAGCATCGGCTCATGTCGGTTTATAGAGCAACGCGCCAGATTGGATCAGCTTGATAGATAATGACGCTGATGAATTTCCGAGATTTCTGATGGCGACGTGTCGTCGTCGAAATACTGTGTGAGTTTTATAGCCAAGAGGACTTGGAGCGCTCGGAGCTCCGCCCGGCGACCGCCTCCCGGCCAACCCCTGGGACTCCGAAGATAAATATTTACTCTCTGCAGATGGCCTGGAGGTGTTTAGAACGTTCCACCAGCAATCGCTCGCCCCGAATGTAGACCAAAGCTACCGTGTCTGACACGGCGGCTGCTCGGAGTCCTTCCTCTGCACGAAACTTCGCAAAGGAACGAGCTGTAACAATACCTATGTGATAATCTATTTTTCCGGAAACTACTGGCGGTACTTCCCACAGTCAATCGTGAACGCATCTCGCTGAGTCCAGGGTGTTCCTCAAATCATATTGTCGTCGATAATAATGATGATTCGGAAGCTATGAATGAGCCCAAGAATCGGCTCTTCGACTCGGATGAGAGCGGCCGGAACTGCCGTGCCATTCTGGCCCCACGATTTAGGGTTCCCAACCGCGTATTCCATTTCAAACGCTCTACTCGCTCTGGAAAATACGGGGAGGAATACAAGACGCGGTTGGGATCGGCAAGTCAATTTTGCATGACGACTCGGATACTGGTGAATTCCTCAGTATCGACGCATTCGAGCGAGTCTTCGTGATCTCGGTAGCGCAGCAAATATAGGGAAGCTGCTATCTTCCTAATCGGCTGCCCCCTCCCCCAACTACGAAGCTAAGAACAACTGTTTTTGAGACTTGGCGACGTGTACCCCTCTTGTCTTCATTTTCGAGCAGCAACACCACGAGCAGTAGACGATGCACCCCCGTCATAAACGTCGCTCAGCTTCGATCCTTTCGAAGCGAGAGCCCATCAGCCAGTCCGTCCGTCCATCCAATCATCGATTCGTCTATCAATTTATCATTTAGGTACTCAGTGAGTCTGGCGTCCAGCTTGTCTTCGATAGGATATCGCCAGACTTGTAATTGTCGTAAATACCTTGAATACTCATCAGACGAGCTGAAGTACTTCGGTTTGTTGAGGCGGTGATTTTTCTTGGAGATATGAGATTGTTTGTGGTTGTCGTCCTGCTGCCTCTCCCAGACTCAAACGCGGCATGCAAGAGTTTGAGGTATGCGAAATGGCTTCTCAAATGACGACCAGACGGGCATATCGGTTTCTCTCATCGGGGTCAAATTCCTGTCACGAAAGATCTCCTCGGAAGGTTCATAATACTCAAGGGAATCATTCGAGTTCCCTGCCCACATACAAGTTTTTTGGATGAGAATGATGACTCCGTGAAATTCAATACGACTCAAACAGAAAAGTCAGACGGAAAGTGCCTACCTAGGACTAAATAGAATCACGGTGTGTCGCTTGCACTTTTTATCTCTGCATCCTTGAACATGCTGGTTGTTTGATACGAAATAACACTCGATTTCCGTCTAGATCGTCTGCTTGATAATGAAAGAATCTCCGACGCCCCTGAGAGTTTCGCCTGCAGAAGTACGTAACGATACCTACGCTTGAAGAAAGAATCACCAACAGCTTCGATGCGAGATGTTTCGCGATTCGCGGGGAGTTTGCAAGCGTGGTCACACATGCGGCGAAATATTAGCTCGGTCGCGGTGATTACAAAAGTACTCCAAAGCGATAGCGAGTTTTTTCCCTTGTCTTTCATACGCTCGCACGGCTATCAGCGCGGACAATACCCAAATCATTCATTAAACGACTTTGCCAGGCTTGTTGGAGACGGAAGCGTTCGCGGCTAATAAGCCTTTTTGTCTGATAGTTGGCTGATGGAGCCCACGCCATCACGCTCCTCAAAATTACGCACAACTGGCAGGAACTCTGAACCTCTATCGGATATTCTGCCGCTAATGGAAAAATCGAGAATGCCATAAAACTCGAGCGATTACTCGATAACGACCTTCCGGAGCCGTGACTCGCACTGGTCCCGAAGTTTTGAGGGAATGAGATGCGGCTCGCGTGCAGACGTAGGAATTCCGCTCTTTGAAAGATATCGAGCAAGGGATGTCAGCGAGCCGATGGGCGCTCCCGCGATATTGTCTTAGCATCCACCCCTAGTCTCCTGAGAATCTGATCTCTCAACACCTCATGACTCTTGTTTACTTCATTTCCGTCCGAGTCCTTCTTGATCGAGTTCTCACAAACCGAGACGCATTTATGGCAATGGATATAAGTGTATTCATGGCAATTATAATAACGGATATCCATTTAGAAACACATGCGTATGAACAACCACTCACGGGGATCTCCGTATTTTGCCCGAGTTTCCGGGAGACATCCCGACTTTCAGATTAGTTTCTCTCCTGTTGAGGGACACTCATACACTTCTCGTTTAGCGAGGCCATCCCAGCGATTCGAACGCGCTGGATCAGCCAATTAGATTTGATAATAGACTTCTAATCGGCGTTCGGCCAGATTTTCTTGTATGGTCCTCGCCGAGCCAGGTTAGCCCAGATATCATCAGATATCTCATAAGAGAAGTCTGATCATCACCCTTTCATTCGCCGCCTCGGGAATTTCGGAGAAATGACGTCATCTTCGGTGCTCATGATTCGGGACTTCAGCGCTGAGTCACTTGATTTCTGAGATTTTTGTCGCCGTCCCGCAAGCAATGGACTGCTCCGGACAGCATGTATTCACGTGTGGGTCAGGTCATCTGGGGGGAACCCTCGACGTCTTAGTGTGTCCCCCGAACCAAGCAGAAGATGGACTTTTTTCCAGCAGGGAACCGCGCGTCACTCAGATTCCGCATCTGTCCGTCTGCCCACCTGCCTTTGGGCTATTGTTCCGGTCGCAAGACGCAACTGCAGGCGAGCAAACGATACCAACCCTTCTAATTACATTGTGATGTTAACAAGGTAATCGATAAGTTGTCTGCTGCTGATGAGATATCTGCTTCGTCATTGTGACCGTCGTTAACGAGCTGCGAGGCGGCTGGATCGTCGTGGTGCTCGCCAACGTCGCGGCAGTCGACCGTCAGCTCCAATAAATAATAGCTCAAAGACACGGAAAACCAAAGTGGTAAAAACCCGGAATCGATCGTCAGGCCGCAGGAAGGGTTCATCGGCGACAGCTCATCACGCTTGCTCGACGCTGGACTGGCATCAGAAACCACTTACCGGAATTCTATGGCTCGATCGTCACTATAAATTCTGAAACTCTGAACAGAAACTCCGCCGCAAGTTCGACTCGAAGAAGAGTC